TTGAATGCCGTCAGCGAGGCTGGCTCCAGGAGCGATGTTACTTTTACTGGTAGGAACCTCCTGGTTACACCAGCCCACAGGTGATTATTGTGTCCGTCCGTCCGTCGTGCATCCAAAAATGGGAGGGGTGGGGCTGGGTGGGGAGGATGGGGAGGGGCTGGGTGGGGAGGGTGGGGAGGGGAGGGTGGGGAGGGGCTGGGTGGGGAGGGTGGGGAGGGGCTGGGTGGGGAGGGGCTGGGTGGGGAGGGTGGGGAGGGGAGGGTGGGGAGGGGCTGGGTGGGGAGGGTGGGGAGGGGCTGGGTGGGGAGGGGAGGGAGGGGAGGGTGGGGAGGGGCTGGGTGGGGAGGGTGGGGCTGGGTGGGGAGGGGCTGGTCACCCCGTGGGGCCCTTATAAAACTCAACGTTTAACCTACTCACGCCGGCTTGTGCCCGCCCTCACAGTCGGCCATATTTGCGGAATACACCACGCCGCCATTGACCCTGGCCATTGACCGAGCAACCCGACGTTCCTACCAGCTCCCTCCGCAGGAATGTGTTTTTCTAAGGCCCAGGGGAGTTGGCAAACACAATAATAAGAGCCATTTAATTCGATAATTCGGTTTAAAAAATACATATATTTCTAGAGCCGCAATGAATGTTAACAAGAACGTCAAACCATGTATTTATACATTTTAATAATAATAACAATGCTAATTTATAACGCGCACAATGCTCACTTGCCTCCCGATATGTGGGGCCCAGCGCAGAGAGATACGCTCAAGTAACATTCAAAATATTAAAAAAAAAAAGTTGAACACGTAGGCTTTTGTGACCAATATCATCCATAACAGAGGTTTTTGGGAACGAAACAGTAAGACTTCTCCACAAATCTGGCTGTCGCCTGATGAAGCTGGTTGTAATTACTGGTGAAACGTCGTACTCGGATTGTAAATGTTGTGGCTTGGCTCTCCAACACACCGGTTAGTGCTGTACTGGTGTACTACACTATACACTACACTATACACTACTGCTGTACTAGTATACTACACTATACACTACACTATACACTAGTGCTGTACTAGTATACTACACTATACACTACACTATACACTAGTGCTGTACTAGTATACTACACTATACACTAAACTATACACTACTGCTGTACTAGTATACTACACTATACACTACACTATACACTAGTGCTGTACTAGTATACTACACTATACACTAAACTATACACTACTGCTGTACTAGTATACTACACTATACACTACACTACTATACACTTGTGCTGTACTAGTGACGAATTGGCCACGTTCTGTTTACGTGACAACCCTTACTAGTTGGCTGTGTCGGGTGGTGGCGGGTTTTAACGACACATTTATATATTTACGCGATTTAACCCAACAACCTCCATTATGGATAAAAAAAAAGATGCGAGTGTGGAGGTGGTGGTGATGATCGTTGGCACAGTAGGGGGCACAGGTGGTGCATCAGCCAGTCATCTCGGTCATCTCAGTCAGTCGACCCGTGGCACCTGGGTCTGCCCCGTGACCTGCCAGCGGGCGTTCGACACTTCACGTGGCCTCAAGGTGCACATGGCCTGGCACAAGCGTCGTGGTGACGTCACCGCCACTTAGTGGCGAATGGCGGTTGTTGTTGCTGGTGGGATGGCGGTGTTTCAGGTAGCGGAGGGGGCCGACAAAGTAGAAAACGACGCCGTGGCGATCGTGGTCCTTGACTCTCTCTCTCTCTCTCGGGCGTGGAGATTAAACTCCTGGGCAGAGCTGCAAGGAGTTCTGGATTTGGTGCGGTTTGTGAGAGTGACAGATCAGTTCCTATGATCAGTTCCCATGATCGATTGCTTTCATGGCTTCATGGCCTTATTTTGGTGATTTTCGAAAAGTTTTTCGGTTTGGGCCATGTTTGTTTGTTGTAGTACGGAGTTAGAATGATGGCCTTAATCTAAGTTGTCTTGTGGTTGTTGTTGTTGTTTGACTTGCATCCCACTGGGATGTTTGCACACAGCGTTGGTGTACGGTTTTTTTCGGTCAAGTCACGTAGGTAAAAAGAAATAATAAAAATTTTAATAATAGAAATACAATTACAAATACGACGTTTCGGAGGCAACACAAGTCTCCGTCATCAGGTGGGACAGTCACAGCTAAATTTACTGTATCAAGGTGATACAGTACATTTAGCTGATGACGGAGACTTGTGTTGCCTCCGAAACGTCGTGATTTATAAAAAAAAAATCTATTATTATTTCTATAATTTTTATTATTTATTTTACCTACGTGACTTTACTGAAAAACCTAATCCTTGCAGTCACGAAAGCTTCAAATCTAGAACTCTGACTTTGGCCGACCCTTCATCAGGATGGCCACGTGCGAATTTCGCGAAGGCAACTCGACATCAAAGCCTCGCACCGTCCAATGTATTGGGCTGTACTGCCCTCTGCCGACCAACCGACTACATCGACACCTTAATTTTGGAGCTTTCGTGACTGCAGGAATTATTCTTTGGTTCTTTCGGTAAAGTCACGTATAAAGATAAAATAATAAATTAAATAATAGCATACTACGACGTTTCGTTGCAACACAAGCAATCATCATCAGGTGTAAATGAAATAGCAACAAAAATCTAATCAGAAAACTATAGACAGACATATAAGCAGACAGATATCACCAAGGTACCTGTGTTACTCTCTCTCTGTGTATCTATTGGTGATATCTGCCTGCTTATATGTCTGTCTATAGTTTTCTGGTTAGATTTTTGTTGCTATTTCACTTATACCTGATGATGATTGCTTGTGTTGCAATCGAAACGTCGTAGTATGCTATTATTTAATTTATTATTTTATCTTTATACGTGACTTTACCGAAAGAACCAAAGACGACATCGACACCATCATTCATCGAATCGTTCGAACAATTCACAGAAGACGGCGGCGGTGGCGACGCTCTATCAGAGGTCGCAAACAGGGTTTTGATTCCTTACCCGTACCCGGCCGCACCAGGGTCGCAAACGGGTACCCGCATCCTACCCGTACCCTACCCGTACCCAGCCGGGTACGGGTAGGGTACGGGTATCGGGTACCTGATTGCGACCTCTGGGATGAAGCCATGTTGTAGGCGCGGGTGGGTTGATTCTAGGAACTTGAATTGTGAGAAGAGACAAGACGTTGGGAAATGAGTGACAAACGGTGACTCACCAGTGACTCACGGCCTACCCGTACCCGTACCCTACCCGTACCCAGCCGGGTACGGGTAGGGTACGGGTATCGGGTACCTGATTGCGACCTCTGGGATGAAGCCATGTTGCAGGCGCGGGTGGGTTGATTCTAGGAACTTGAATTGTGAGAAGAGACAAGACGTTGGGAAATGAGTGACAAACGGTGACTCACCAGTGACTCACGGCCTACCCGTACCCGTACCCTACCCGTACCCAGCCGGGTACGGGTAGGGTACGGGTATCGGGTACCTGATTGCGACCTCTGGGATGAAGCCATGTTGCAGGCGCGGGTGGGTTGATTCTAGGAACTTGAATTGTGAGAAGAGACAAGACGTTGGGAAATGAGTGACAAACGATTTTAGCTCAAATTTCAATTTAAAGCTTTCGTGACTGCAGGGATTCATCTTCTTGGTTCTTTCGGTAAAGTCACGTAGAAGGGAAGTAATAAAATAATAAAAATAAAACAATAAAATAATTCTCACGACGTTTCAGGCCACAACGCGGACGGGTACGGGTAGGCCGTGAGTCACTGGTGAGTCACCGTCATTCAGACTCTATCTTCTCGACAGATCTGTTCTTCACCTGAGGACGGTTGCTTGCGTTGTGGCCGAAACGTCGTGAGAATTATTTTATTTTTATTATTTTATTATTTCCATTCTACGTGTTCTTTTAGCCCCGCCCCCCCTCCCTCCCGATACGTTCCATTCATTGGCTACCACATTCTGATGAGCTCCCCCCCCCTCTTCTCCCCCCTCAACTCGCATTTAAGGGATTACATCTTGAATCCTTGCCTCACTTGATGCAGCAAATCTGGCTGTGACGGTCCCACCTGATGACGGAGCCTTGTGTTGCCTCCGAAACGTCGTGATTTTTATTGTTTTATTTGTATTCATTTCATTTCTTACCTCCGTGACTTTACCGAAAGAACTAAGAGTCTGAAAATGTACATTATCAGAGTTGCCAGATAAAAGGGTAAAACCCTATTACTATATATTGCTATTGGCAAAGGAGGTCTCATAATGTAAATGCTTACCCCGAGCTCTCAATACTCTGATGGTGCGTTGTCTTTGAGTTGTGCGCCTTTTGGCGTCATCTGGTACAACACCATGTGAGACTGGGCTCTAAGAAAAGCTGTTTCGGGTGTGGACCAATCAGTTTCAAGGATAGTGCATACATTATCAGAGTTGTCTTTTTGTTTGCATTTTGACCGCAAGTGTTGTGGTTAATGCAAACATGGTCCCTTGTAAAAAGGTGTCAGTTTTGTTGCCAGATAAAAGGGTAAAAATCTATTACTATATATTGCTACTGGCAAAGGAGGTCTCATAATGTAAATACTCCAAGAGTTTGGGAGGAATTCGGCACCGGCTAATTCGCCTGGCCTGGGGCATTCACTTTCCGGCTGTCGTTCCCCCGTGCATCGCGAGCCATCCCCTCCTCCGAGTTGAGTGAATGCTGTGCCGATCAACTTGTGGTGAATCAAGCAAGTTGGGGAGGAGGGCTTGGGATGATTGCGATGTGTATGTACACACACACACTGGTGTTTCAACTGACACACACACTGGTGTTTCAATTGCCACACACACACACTGGCGTTTCAACTGACACACACACACTGGTGTTTCAATTGCCACACACACACACTGGTGTTTCAACTGACACACACACACACTGGTGTTTCAATTGCCACACACACACACACTGGCGTTTCAACTGACACACACACACACAGGTGTTTCAATTGCCACGCGCACACAATGTATTTCAAAAGTCTCGGCAAAGTATTTAAATGGGATTTTTTTTCTACCTTTAATACAAAGCCCTAAATTAATTAAAATGTCCAGACAACACAAATGCACTTTTTGTTAACGTGGATAACAGGTCTAAAAAAAAATGTATAATTAATTTCAAAACACACCTGGTAGCAGGCCTGCCTTAGCAAATAACACGCAAACCTTTGGGCTGTCAGAATATCTCAAGAGCAAAGCATTCTGCCGACACCTACATTGACCAACACAAAGGTGACCAGCGCTGCACGCATCATCACAGCTCTCAGCCTAGTCCAGACCACCAGCTCAAAAGAACTGCCAACACGCGGCCTTTTTGTCGTTTGCGGGCTGTGCTGACGAGTCCCGTCGAAGGCGAAACCGGTCCACGGTTGACGTCGTCGTTCCGCTGCTGCCTGTTGGGAGGAGCCACATTTTCCGAGCTCCGAGTCGGTGGTTCTCAACGACGAGCATGGCCGCAGGTTTTAGTTCTTTGCGAGCTGGTGGTTTGGACAAGGCCGAGAGATTTTTGTTCTGTTCGTACACGCAGTGCCGCAACACTTTCGCGCGTCGACAAAAAGTTTCCGTTGCGATGGGGGGAGGGGGCGGGCGCGGCGTGGTTTCTCGTCAGTCGCCCTTCCTCCCCACAACAGATTCCGCCTCAAGGTGGGAATCGCTTTACCGCACCGCGGTCATTTCGTACTCTGCGCCAAACGTCCCGAGTCGAACGAATCGTCGTACGGACTACTACCCACGCTACGCTTGACGAACGCTCTCTGGCTACGTTGACCACTCTGGCCCTCGCGACCTCGAACGTCCGTCGCCGCATCCGCTCGCGAACAAGTCGCGCGGCCTGCGCAGTGGCGACGACGAGGGCTTTGAGAGAATGAAAGGCTCCGAATTTAAAAAATAAACTGGCTTGTCGCCTGATGAAGCTCGTTGTAATTACTGGCGAAACGTCGTGCTCAGGTTGTAAATGTTGTGGCTTTGCACACCAACAAACCTGGTGTGCTGTGCTAGTAACGAATTGGCCACGTTCTGTTTACGTGACAACCCTTACTAGTTGGCCGTGTCGGGTGGTGGTGGCGGATTTAATGACACATTTATATATTTACGCGATCTAACCCAAAAAAATATATATATTATGGACAACAACTGGAATAACAAGAAGCGTTGCACAGACCCCAAGTTGTTCTGCGCAACCTAAACCGCTCCCCCAAGGCGATGTTCACGTGCCCGCCCACCAGCCGCCGTGTTCGTTCCTGCGTCCGGCAAAACTCGACCATCAAATGCGACGTTGCCTTCTTCCCTGCCACGACAAAATTGAGTTTTGTATTCACGGAGAGGACGGACATTAACTCTCCACGTTGACGCCATCTGCGTGCGCTGTATGCCTCTTAGAAAAATTCGTATACAAAAATTGAGACCGCGGTATTTTTGTTTGTTCCCTGTCGCGCGTTTAACGCGGGACCGTGGATTGGTCGATCGCCGCGCCTTTCCGCGCACCGACGAAAACGGTCATTCGGTCGCAAGGCGAGTCTCCTCCCTGCCTGCCGTGCACGGTCAACTTCCCGGGACGGCCGCACGCCGCCTCTGCCCACGATCCCAAAGCGTGGCCGGGAAAATGATGAAAACGACAACACGACGAGTGGCGGGCGGCGGGGGCGGATCTCTGGGCGGGGAGAGATCTCCGCGTGAGCCTCCCCGCCCCGCTCCCGATGCTCACAGCCACGTGAGCGGACAAATGGGACGAGTGTGCGATGTGGGGTGGGGGGCGGCAGCGCGAGTTTGGCTGCAGTGATGACCGGCGAGGAGGATGCGAGGAGAGTCTTGTGTAGAATGAGTGCGAGGGTTTGCTACGAATGCACGTGTGTGTGCGTGCGTGTGTGCTCCGTGTATCCGGTGGGGAGCGGTGGTGTAGCGGTTAGCGCGCTGCACTACCGAACCTGGCCACCAGAGTTCGATTCCCGCTCATGGCCAGCACCAGTGACGATTATCCGAACCGATCCTCGGTCGACTCGGCTTCAATTGAGCGCCTCGCGCGACGTGGGGACATCGCCACTAGGGAGACAAAGGCGGCCGGGCGTGGTGCTGGCCACCAACCCCCTCGTGTGCCGTGCCGGCCTTCGCAGGTGCTCGCCAACAGCACTTGCCCCAACGGTCTGTTAAGGCTACACACTGGGGGATCTTTGTCTGTGTGTGTGTATAGGGTATAGCCCCATCATTTATTCTAGATTTGAAGTTTTCGTGACTGCAAGGATTCATACTCTTTGGTTTTTCGGTAAAGTCACGTAGGTAAAAATGAATAAATGAAAAATTTCGTTGTTTTTTCACTCATTTATTTTTACCTACGTGACTTTACCGAAAAAAACAAAGAGTATAGCCCCATCAGTCTGTTAAAGGCTATACGGGGATCTTCGTGTGTATAGGGTCAGGGGTTATGGAAGGGAATGGGGGGGGGGGGGGTACAGGGCTAGTGGATGATTGGGTTGAGAGGCTCTGCGCGGATGTTGCCCAAGTCCAGCGCTCCGTCCGTGTCGTCATCGATCTCTCCGATCACCGCCCTGCGCACACAGCACATGAACGCAACCTCAACAATTGATTTTTTACCCTTCTATCTGGCAACAAAACTGACACCTTTTTTTACAAGGAGTCATGTTTGCATAGACCACAATACCTGCAGTCATAATGCAAACAAAAAACACAACTCTGATAATGTATGCACTGTCCTTGAAGTTGATTGGTCCACACCCGAGACAGCTTTACTTAGAGCCTAGTCTCACATGGGTTGGACCAGATGACACCAAAAGGCGCACAACTCAAGGACAATGCACCATCAGAGTATGAGAGCTCGGGGCAAGCATCTACACTATGGGAACCTCATTTGCCAGTAAAAATATGATAATTGTTTTTTTACCCTTATATCTGGCAACAAAACTGACACTTTTTTTTACAAGGAGTCATGTTTGCATAGACCACAATACCTGCAGTCATAATGCAAACAAAAAACATAACGCTGATAATGTATGCACTGTCCTTGAAGTTGATTGGTCCACACCCGAGACAGCTTTCCTTAGAGCCTAGTCTCACATGGGTTGGACCAGATGACACCAAAAGGCGCACAACTCAAGGACAATGCACCATCAGAGTATGAGAGCTCGGGGCAAGCATCTACACTATGGGAACCTCATTTGCCAGTAAAAATATGATAATTGTTTTTTTACCCTTCTATCTGGCAACAAAACTGACACCTTTTTTTACAAGGAGTCATGTTTGCATAGACCACAATACCTGCAGTCATAATGCAAACAAAAAACATAACTCTGATAATGTATGCACTGTCCTTGAAGTTGATTGGTCCACACCCGAGACAGCTTTACTTAGAGCCTAGTCTCACATGGGTTGGACCAGATGACACCAAAAGGCGCACAACTCAAGGACAATGCACCATCAGAGTATGAGAGCTCGGGGCAAGCATCTACACTATGGGAACCTCATTTGCCAGTAAAAATATGATAATTGTTTTTTTACCCTTCTATCTGGCAACAAAACTGACACCTTTTTTTACAAGGAGTCATGTTTGCATAGACCACAATACCTGCAGTCATAATGCAAACAAAAAACATAACGCTGATAATGTATGCACTGTCCTTGAAGTTGATTGGTCCACACCCGAGACAGCTTTACTTAGAGCCTAGTCTCACATGGGTTGGACCAGATGACACCAAAAGGCGCACAACTCAAGGACAATGCACCATCAGAGTATGAGAGCTCGGGGCAAGCATCTACACTATGGGAACCTCATTTGCCAGTAAAAATATGATAATTGTTTTTTTACCCTTATATCTGGCAACAAAACTGACACTTTTTTTTACAAGGAGTCATGTTTGCATAGACCACAATACCTGCAGTCATAATGCAAACAAAAAACACAACGCTGATAATGTATGCACTGTCCTTGAAGTTGATTGGTCCACACCCGAGACAGCTTTACTTAGAGCCTAGTCTCACATGGGTTGGACCAGATGACACCAAAAGGCGCACAACTCAAGGACAATGCACCATCAGAGTATGAGAGCTCGGGGCAAGCATCTACACTATGGGAACCTCATTTGCCAGTAAAAATATGATAATTGTTTTTTTACCCTTATATCTGGCAACAAAACTGACACTTTTTTTTACAAGGAGTCATGTTTGCATAGACCACAATACCTGCAGTCATAATGCAAACAAAAAACACAACTCTGATAATGTGCACTGTCCTTGAAGTTGATTGGTCCACACCCGAGACAGCTTTCCTTAGAGCCTAGTCTCACATGGGTTGGACCAGATGACGCCAAAAGGTTCCAATAGTGGACGCAACATCGTTCACTCCCTCAAACGCCCACTCTCAAAATCGAACCTGCGTTTGTACAGAACGGGTCACGCGACAAGCTCGAGTGGTAACTGCAACAGCAAGGATGATACGCCGTGACCTACGGGGGGGAAGTGTTTCCCAGCCAGTGTGAAAGAATGCATTCAACTAAATACCCCAAAACTATTTTTTATTTTGCCAGGTAAGTTCCCGCTGAGCTGTGCGGATCTTTTTCAAGAAGCGTCCCGGCCGCACTAGGGAGACAAAGGCGGCCGGGCATGGTGTTGGCCACCCACCCCCTCATGTGCCGTGCCGACCTTTAAAGGTGCTCGCTAACAGCACTTGCCCCTCCAGTCCGTTAAGGCTACACGGTGGATCTTTGTCTTTGTGTGTATAAAAGTGGCGTCGTGTGTGTGCGGCGTTGCGGCTACTCACACGTTGTCTCCACGCACGATGTAGAGGCCCAGCACCACCTGCTCCACGCCCTGGCTCGAGCTGAACACGCGCTCGTGACTCTCGTCCAGGATGAGGTTGATGGTCTGGTCGAAGCCCTTGAGGGTCCCCTGCCGCAGCCGCACACAAGCGCCGGTCGGTCCGCCAGCAATCACCGCCCCACACTCACACCCGTCGCTCGCTCACCATCGTCGCCACCACCATTCTCTTTATTTTATTCATTATTTCCCTTCTACGTGACTTTACCGAAAGAACCAAAAACCAATGAACACTCTCTCTCTCTTTGGCTTAAGCGCTGCTGCATCTTCCTTTGTTGCTGATCACTTCTTATAATGCATTATCCATTAGTCGCTGGTTTGCGGAATCCCATACAACGGGGAAGTGTAGGGCTTTAGAAATGCTGGTGCGCACAGGTGAATCGTCTCGTGTATCTCCTCGCGATATCACACACACCCCCAGCACCACATGAAATCTTCTATATAAGTAAAGACCTTAATCTGTATGTCCGTTTCAAAAACCTCTTAAGAGTACTTCCCGACAAGGTGGAACGTTGAAAATGTGGTACACATGGAGCTTTTAGGATACAGACAACAGTAAAGATATGAAAATACGAGGTTTTAACATTTTCACGTCCCCAAATCTTGATTTTTAGTGCCCCATAAACATGTTTGTGCACGTGGGGTCATTTAGAAACCGTAAAAAAATATACGATTGCGTTTTTTCGTTTGATAGAGCGTTAAATATAATTATCCATTGTTCCATCTTTATTGTTTTTGAGATTCTTCGGTTTCAGATTTTAAAAAATCCGCATTTTATGATATTCAGATCTGAATAATTCGAAAACGATCAAAGATAGGACAGCTTCCCTTCGTGGACTGTTAAGTAAATGAATGAGTGTTTTCTATTATTAAAAAAACGTAATCTATAAATTGAGCGGTTTCCCATGGATACGTCTTTAAATATAAGAAGTTGAATCAAGTTATCAACAATTTTTTTTGCGGAAAAACACATTTTTGGAGTAGTTGTTCGTGGTCTGATGGTAGATAAAAATTGTAAACAAAAATCTTATTCATTGAAAACTTTTTCCCGACGAAGACGGGCTTCATTAACTCGTAATATACGAGCGATTGTTATACAAATGAAAGGAAACTGGAGCACCCCAAGAAAACCCATGCGCGCGTGCGGGCGGGCAACACTCTATGCCCATACAGATGGAAACAGATGACGATTATTTAAGCAACATTTGCACGATCCGCCAACCCTCCCCTCCGTGGCGGATTACACGCCACGTGCGTAGCCACCGCCGCTGCTCTCCAGGATTATATTTAATCAACGACAAAACTTGAACACATTTTCATCAGATCTGTGCGCTTTCTCCTCAGGCAGCGCAGACTCCTTAGCGGAGCGTTTGACGAGCGAGATTTTAAAAAATTAACCCGTAAAAACAAAGTTTTTCACTATAAATCTTTATATGCGTGGCGGCTAGAGTCCTCTCGTCCTCTGGCTTGAAATGGCTGCCACCTATGGGTCAGATGATTGTCTGCCACCATTAAGCAATTGGTAATTAAATATTTATTTATTTTCCCCTAAAAAGTGTAAAATTTAGCAAATTTTTTTTCACGAAAATTAATTGTCACGCACAACGAGTCTGTGTGCAAAATGTCAGCTCGATTGGATCACGGGAAGTGGGTTAAAAAACGACCGAAAGATTTGCACGGTCGTAAGCAAGCAAGCACGCAAGCAAGTGAACTTAATATAAAGGATTTAAAAAAACGAACACAAACTCCGCTTACCACAATCATCCTCCCGTCTGCAGTGATGACGGAGACCGTGTCTGTGGGATCCTAGAGTTAAGGACAAACTTGGCAGAGCCAGGGGTAAGTTGTACATTTTCGACCTGGCAACGAAGGGAATCCACGTGTTTACAAGAATACATCAAGGCAGGACATAAAGCGTCAAGCCAACTCCGACAATCCTCCGCAGTGGCGGCTTTTGGCTGACCATCGAACAAAGGCGGCGGTCACCGCATCGCGCACTTTCGGATGCGCTTCTGCGGCCGTCTGGAACGCTCTTCCTTCCAGATGTGAAGAAGCCACTGGGAGCTACGCACTTTCAAATCGAAGTTGAAAACTAATTTCATTAGAACTGCTTTTTGTGTTTATGTTGTCCTTCCCCCGCACCTCCGATTAGTACGGTTGTCTACGTACGGTTGCGAAAGAAGTTCAACATGAAATAACGTAATCATACCGCCTATTTATCGTGTCCGGTTTCGTGCCAATGCAGTTTTCAATAGTACAACACAATCGTGAAGGGCGGGCAAATAGGTACGGCAAGTCCTCGCTCAACGCCCGGTGTTCGACACAACGCGATTTCGCTATAACGCGGTTATTAAATGAGGGAACGCGGAATGCGCTCCGTTATAACGTGGAATGATGCCTTCGCTTAAAGCGGACACTTGCAAACAAAACCAACCACACACGCACACACACTCACACGGGGAGACCACAAGATCGCCCAACCTGTCCCTCTGCACCGGGCCTTCGCGCGACATCGGATGATGCCAGACTTCCTCGTGGCAGCCAACGTGCCGACGTGGTTTTGCCATCAATCGTTCGCTCTACCGGTGCGTCACAACGAAGACGCCGCAGTGCGGGATGAAGCTAGTGCGGGGCCTGTGGCATATGTTATAAAGGGGCACTAAATAAACAAAACCACATAAATATCAAAACAAACATTTTTAATTCTAGATTTGAAGCTTTCGTGACTGCAAGGATTCATACTCTTTGCTTTTTCGGTAAAGTCACGTAGGTAAAACAATAAAATAAATGAAAACAACTAAATTAAACCACGACGTTTCGGAGGCAACATAAGCTTCCTTCATCAGGTGTTGTTTTCATTTATTTTACTGATTGTTTTACCGACGTGACTTTACTGAAAAATCAAAGAGTATACATTTTTAACTTGCGCAGTAAAGTCAGTTTTTTTTCCATTTGCTATACAGCCAGATAATACGACAAATCGCTAACCTTAAACACCCCGTCGTTCGTAAAACTTTGAGGCAGTATAGTACTATAGTAATAGAGCAAGTGCAGAATCACTGAACCGGAATTGATAGCTTGAAAGCATTTAGCGCGGGGCCCTTGAAAGTGCTGGGCCCGTAGCCACCGCACTGTCGCCACCGCACGTGGGGCCACCGCACGTGTGGCCACCGCACGTGTCGCCACCGCACGTGTCGCCACCGCACGTGCGGCCACCGCACGTGTCGCCACCGCACGTGCAGCCACCACACGTGCAGCCACCGCACGTGCAGCCACCGCACGTGCAGCCACCACACGTGTAGCCACCACACGTGCAGCCACCACACGTGTAGCTACTTGTGCTACTGGGATAATCTGCCACTGCAGCGCCTGCATATTGGGGACGCGAATGCGGTACCCCAAGTTACTGTTGACATCTCATCTCGGAGGCAAGTCAAGTTCTGCACCAAGCTGACAGGGGGACATCGTCGTTTCTCCAAAAACCCGCAGACAATTTCATCTTCTCATCGATCCGCCTCTCAATAGTTCTCCGTACGCCGGCTGATCACACGAGGCCTCTATAATGATGTATTGCGTGCGGTTACAAGGAGTCTCGGTCACCTCATAGTACACCACAACACAGCACACCACACTACACAATACACCACAGTACAACACAGCACAGTACCACAACACAACACAGCACACCACAACACAGTACACCACAACACACCACTGCACACCAAACCTCACTACACCACACCACTGCATACCACAACACACCACAACACAGCACACCACCCCACAGTACACAGCACACCACCCACTGCACGCCACAACACACCTCAGCACACCACAACATACCACACACCACAACACAGCACACCACAACACACCACAACATACCGCAGCACTGCACACCACACAACACAGCACCACAAAACACCACACCACAAAACACCACACCACACCTCACCACACCACAGCTGCTCTACGTTCTTCGCACCCCCCCCCCCCCCTCTGCCAGGCTCTGCCAGGCCCACAGCCGGGTTCGAGCCCCGGCTGTGGACAGGGGGGTGACGGGCAACCACGGGACAGAGCCGACTATAGTCGCAGCGGTATTAGTATCCGCTCGCCACCCACCCCCCTACCCCCTCGCTGACCCCTGCCCGGTCAGCGAGCGGGCTAACGAAGCAGAGGCAACGAAACCCCTCAAACGACGGCGAATTATTCCAACCCGCGCTCTTTGTGATGAACTCCGATGCGACCCCCGTCACCCTCTCGATCCTCCGCGCGTTCCCTGTCTACCCCAACACGTGCACCCCCTGTCTCCCCGCAAGAGGAGGGCGAGGAGGAGAAGCAACAGCAACAACAACAACAGCAGCAGCAGCAGCAGCAGCAGGGGCGAGCATGAGGATACGATTGACGTAGGTCTCCAACGCGGAGGCCATTGCAGCTGCTGCTTTCACCACCACGCGTCTCCCGGCACCGCGACCCCAGTGACCCCACGTGGCGTGACGCGCCGTGACGCGCCCGTGACGTCAGCTCGGTCGCGCGACGCACGTGGCGAGCGCCATATTGCTAAGGGATGAGAATTGTTGATGTTTTTATTTTATTTTTTTATTTAAAACTTTCGTGACTGCAGGGATTCATCTTTCTTGGTTCTTTCGGTAAAGTCACGTAGAAGGGAAGTAATAAAATAATAAAAATAAAACATAATAAAATTATTCTCACGACGTTTCGGCCACAACGCAAGCAGCCGTCCTCAGGTGAAAACCAGGTCCGTCGAGGCGACAGAGTCTGAATGAAACAGCACACGAGCTTGGAGCATATATATAAGCTGGGCGCCTTGACAAAGGAATTTGCATATCAAGAGGAATTTAGCATATTTATGGGAAATGCAGGAATGTGATTAGTACTGCATATGCATGTGCATTATGCAGGATTAACAGCATTATGCAGGATTAACAGTTTTTATTTTAATCAGAATCTTGTATTGAAGGAGGAATCCGATGAGCTATGAAGCTGTTTATCACATATTGTTCAGTAGGGGCACGGGGTGTAAGGACGTTACAACAACAAACACAATGATATACCTGTAAACCCCTTATCAGTGCCGCTTATTATATTACAGACCAATTCAGACCTTTTTGGTGACCCCGTGCCCCTTATCAATCTCAACGTTCCTCCTACAAAGTCCAATCGCAAGGGAGAAACACAAACAAATACACAAAAATAAAATAAAAATGTTGCCCGTATTGAAACGGTGCTTAAATACGTTCTAACACGAGGAACACTTTATATTGTATTCTATGGTAAGATACAAATTTAGTTCCATTTCCATATATACAGTATTTTAAAAGTGATTTTTTTTTACATTTCCTATACTTTGCACTCCTATCGTGTTTTTTGTATTGTTTGCTGTTGTTAACGTTCTGATCAACCCCAACTGCACATCCGTGAAAAAATATCTTTATAGCTCCTCGGATTCCTCCTGCGGTATAAATATTGATTCGATGTCGAGCGAGCAGCTGCAATCGGTAGGGTTTGCGGATTCGAATATTGGTTGGGGTGGTTGACTCAGCCCATCATCCCACGGGGGCGGATAAAATTGGCACCACTGTGTGAGGAAGTCAAGTGTGGTTGTAGTTGTTAGATGGATATGCTGTAGCAAAGTGTAAATCCCACTGGGTCAAAAAAACACATCAAATACTCGACGGTTTAGGCAATGGTCCTTCTTCAATAGCACATCATCGTGTGCTTTGACGAAGGGCATATCTCCCGAAACGTCGCATATTTATTTTTATTATTGATGCACATGGTGATGGTTCATGTTGTTGTTCTGCTTCTGCACGTGGCAGCTGCATCGGAATCGCCGACAACTCTCGCGATATGACGTCATCGCGCCGGAGCGGTTGCAAACAAGCGCGATGACGTCACCGACATGGCGTGAAACTAAACTCGTGTTATGACGTCACCACGTCGCCGCGGTGCAAACCTCTGGCGATGACGTCCGCGCGAGTGTTCATCACGCGCGATGACGTCACCGCAACCCCCGCGTTAATGTCAAAATTCATTGCATCGATGACGTCCCAAAAACCCTCGTTTTAACGACAAAACCTCATCGCCGCGATGACGTCACCGCAACCGCCGCGTTAACGACAACAAAACTCATCGCCGCGATGACGTCACCGCAACGAAAATAAAATGCATCGCCGCGATGACGTCACCGCAACCCCCGCGTTAACGACAACAAAACCTCATCGCCGCTGCCGCCGCCGCGATGACGTCATTGCAACGACAACAAAACTTCATCGTCGCCGCGATGACGTCACGGCCGCCACCACCGCCGCGATGACGTCACGGCCGCCGCCACCGCCGCGATGACGTCACCACGGCCACCGCCGCGATGACGTCACACAGTGCCGCGCGCCGCCCGCTGAGATGGCGGAGGGCGCCGCGAGCCTGGTGGAGCGCGCCAAGGCGACGCTGGCGTGGTCCTGGAGCTACCTGTGGGCTCTCTGGTTCCTCATGGTGCTGCTGCTCGTCTACATCCTCAGGGCCCCGCTCAGGATCAACGAGAACGTCAACACGGGTGGGTCCGTCGGCGTGGATCTTTGCCTCACGCGCGCGCTTCTCGTTCGATCGCTCGCTCGTTCGCGCGTTGTCTTTCTCGGTCGCCTGCACGCGTGAGTGAGCAGAGAGACGCACACACAGAGAGACACAGAGAGACAGACAGGGAGACACACACATAGAGAGACACACATAGAGAGACAGGGAGACAGACAGGGAGACACAGAGAGACAGGGAGACACACAGAGAGACAGAGAGACACAGATACAGTGAGACAGACAGGGAGACGCACACACAGAGAGACAGAGAGACACAGACAGAGAGACACAGACAGAGAGACACAGACAGAGACACAGACAGAGAGACACAGACAGAGACACAGACAGAGAGACACAGACAGAGAGACACAGACAGAGAGACACAGACAGAGAGACACAGACAGAGAGACACAGACAGAGAGACACAGACAGAGAGACACAGACAGAGAGACACAGACAGAGAGACACAGACAGAGAGCGAGGGAGCGCGCACGAGGAGAGACGCGGGGCCGGGCAACACTGAGAGCTCTTAGCACACTCACAACCCCGACTCACTCACTCGTGCACCACTCACCCTGGGTCTCACTCACTCACTCATACACCACTCACCCTGACTCTCACCCACTCGTACACCACTCTCCATGGGTCTCACTCACTCATACACCACTCACCCTGACTCTCACTCATACACCACTCACCCTGACTCTCACTCACTCATACACCACTCACCCTGACTCTCACTCACTCTGACTCTCACTCGTACACGACTCTCCATGGGTCTCACTCACTCATAGACCACTCACCCTGGACTCTCACTCAGTCGTACACCACTCACACAGACTCTCACTCATACACCACTCACCCTGACTCTCACTCACTCGTACACCACTCATCCTGACTCTCACTCACTCATACATCACTCACCCTGACTCTCACTCACTCATACATCACTCACCCTGACTCACTCACTCGTACACCACTCACCCTGGACTCTCACTCGTACACCACTCTCCATGGATCTCACTCACTCATACACCACTCACCCTGACTCTCATTCACTCACTCATACATCACTCTCCCTGACTGTCACTCACTCGTGTACCACTCTGCATGGGTCTCACTCATACACCACTCACCCTGACTCTCATTCACTCGTACACCACTCTCCCTGACTCTTACTCATGCAAAACTTTCCCCGGCTCAAACTCACTCATACACCACTCTCACTGGCTCGAACCCACTCTGTCTAGCTCTCTCACACTCATACACTTTATACAGCGCTCTCACACACACACACTCACTCTCACTGGCTCTCTCACTCATACCTGCTGTCACTCATTCACTCACTCATTCACTCATACCTGATGTCACTCATACATACATCCATTCACTCATTCCTGCTCTCATTCATATACTCATTCACTCATACCTGCTGTCACTTACACATTCACTCACTCATTCACTCATACCTGCTGTCACTCATTCACTCATATCTACTGTGACTCATTCACTCACTCATTCACTCTTACCTGCTCTCATTCATACACTCATAGCTGTTGTCACTCATTCACTCTTACCTGCTGTCACTCATACATTCATTCATTCATTTACTCAAACTTGCTTCTTGGGGTAGGTGCTGTTAGCGAGCACCTCCTCATTTGAGGTTGGTATTGGCCGTGAGGTTGGTATTGGCCGTGAGCGGGAATCGAACTCGAGTCGCCGAGGTTTGTAACCGCTGCACTACCGCGCATACAAAGACAAAGATCCCCCGTGTAGCCTTAGACTGTAGGGGCAAGTGCTGTTAGCGAGCACCTATGCGGTCCGGCACGGCACACGAGGGGGTGGATGGCCAACACCACGCACCAGGTACTCATTCGAGGCTGAGTCGACCTAGGGGAGGCCCAGGACCGGTTCAGATAATCATCACTGATGTTGGCCATGAGCGAGAATCGAACCCGGGTCGCCGGGTTTGTATCGCAGCGCGCTAACCGCTGCACCACCGCTCCCCTAACACATTCTCACACTCTGTCTCATACTGTCACTCATATACGGTCACTCATATACTGTCACTCATGCACGTGCTTCACCCGTGTGCCGGCGACTCCGCGTGCTTCCTAAACAACTTCCACGCGCTTCGTACCCCCTCGGTATTAATTTGAACTTCGCACGCTGTCATCATCATCATCACACAGACATCATCCCGCTGTGTAGCATGCACAGGCTGTAGGAGACCCCCCCCCCTTGCTGCTGCTGCTGTAGGAGAGACAAACCCCTACGGTTCCCCACCACGCGTTGTGTTGGTGTGGCCGCTTACCACGCCCGACCGCCTTTGTCTCCCCAGCCGCTAGCGTTTTACAACACCGCACCAGGAGGAGGGCTGTGTTATGCAACGCGCTCGTTTCAGTTTGATTCGACCTCGGGGAGGTGATCCAGGATTATGTCCTGATCTCACATCCCAGATGTTATGGGTTTTAATTTTGCTCCCATCACTGCTGCCAACGTTGTGCCGTGTTTTTCTTTTATCCGCCCCCACAGCTCTGCTCGTTGTTGTGAGCGTCGCTCACGCAACCCGCCTTTGCTGCTTGGAGGCCGATTTTGCCTCCCGACTGCCGACTGAGTTGTTTTCGTGAGCCAGATCTTTGCCGAATACGGCAAAGGCAGCATCGTCATCTAGCAGCGGATATATCCTGGATGAAGATGCCTTGGATTGGAGTGCTATCAGCGTCCACAATGTATTTGCGTAGTCCAACATTGATTAGCCACAATGCTATGTGATTATCATTTGTAGTTCACCCCCGCCTAGACCATTAATCACAACATATACCACTTGAAACAAGCCTGGGGAGGTCATAGAAAGTATTTGAATGATCAGCATCTCTCGAGTCTAGGGCCTCCGGCACATTCTTACTTGGGTCCAACCATCCA